GCATTCTGGTTCAAAACTTCTACGCATCGTGCTCAGTCCAGATCACACTCACAAGGACCGGTCTCAACACTGCACACCGCCACCGAATGCTTACACAGATTGAAACATTGAAACTGGCCACACTCTCGACAGCATGAAACGATTCCCGAAAGCAACCGTTCCTTCAAAGCGAAAACCCCTTCGCAATCAAGCCCCTTCAAAATCGATCACTCATGAAAATGTCCAACCATGCGGGCAGGCTTACTTTCGAAGTCGTCCATATTGACTTGAACAAGTGATCTGTGGGTTACCAGATCCCAAAAACAATCACGTGGCTTGACACGCAAGGGACTGCTGCAAGCTCGACACTCTCGCGAGCACTCATTTCGGATCTGCGACTGTGGGAGCTGTCTCGGTGAATCTCGGTAACCCGCTGTTGGATTCAAGTCCGGGTCCGCGCTGCAGCACCACGCGCCGGGCTTTAGAAGGATCAGCAAAGGAACAAATCGGACCACCAGAAAGGCATAGGCTTACAAACCCGAACATCCTAAAACCTTGAAGCCGCAGCAGGCGTGGATGGGTGCCAAGAGCTAAACCCTAAAAGGAGTGGGTGTGGAAACCCAAGACCCTAAAGGAGTATCTCGTGTAAAATTCAAAGATCAAATCCTAAATGACGTGGGAAGGCGCGAGAACCGAAATCCCGAACAGGAGTGCCTGGTTTCGTAAACTCCAATCTCCGAATCTTCGAAGGCGGTGCGAAAACCCAACAAATGAGCAGGTGGTGCGGAAATCCAGGACCCTGCAAAGAGTGGGTGTGGGTGCTGAAGCCCGAAAACACTTAAAGGAGCATGCTTTGTGAAAGCCCAAAGCCACACAGCCTTAAATGGAGTAGATGTAGCTGCCAAAACCCAAACACCTGAAAGGATTGGGGGGTCACCAAACCCAAGACCTTGACATGAGTCGGCGGGTGCAAAAAGGAGTAACAGGTGCCAACATCCGCAACACAGAATGCATGGGTGCGAAACCCAGCACCCTAAAAGGAGTCGGTGCGTGCGAGACGCAACACTCTCAAAGGAGTGGCTGGCAAAACCGCGGAAACCCAAGCCCTAAAAAGAGAGCGGGGTGGTGCAGAAAACCAAGCCCAAAAGGAGTGGTGCGAAAACCAAAATCCTAAAGGCAGTGGCTGCATGCGATAAGCCAACGAGCCGGTGGGTGCAAAAACCCAAAACCCTAAAAAGAGAAGGAATGGGGTGGGTGCTGAAGCCCCAAACCCCAAAATGGAGTATGTTCTGAGCCTTAAAGGAGTAGCTGGTCCAAAAGCTTAAACCCCCAGAAAGACTGGACGGATGCGAAACCCAAAACCCTACATCAACGGAGCAGGTGTGCAGAAACCCAAAACCCGAAGAGGAGTGACTGGTGCAAAAACCCAAACCCCTAAACGGAGTGGATGCCCGCGAAACCCTGAATGGAGTTGGCGGGTGCGAAACCCAGAACCCTGGGAGGAGTAGCTGGCGCAACACCCTGAACGGAGTGGGTGGGTGCGAAACCGAAATTTCAAACCAGGAGTGGGCGGGTGCGACACCCAACAGCTGTAGAGGAGTAGCTTCGGTGGCTGCGAAGCCCGGCACCCTAAAAGGAGTGGGCTGGCAGGAGCAAGAGCAAGAACAAGGGCAAAAACAACAGCACGAGCAGGAGTAAGAGCGAGAGAAGCAGCGACAGCAAAAGCAAAAGAAGGAGTTAGAGCAAGCAGAAGCAAGAGCAGGAGTAAGAGCAAGAGCAGAAGGAAGAGCAGGAGCAACAGCAAGAGCAGGAGCAAGAGCAAGCGCAAAAGGAAGAGCAGGAGCAACGGCAAGAGCAGGAGCAAAAGCCAGCGCAGGAGCAGAGCCGCAGCAGGAGCAACAGAAGCAACGGTAGAGGTAACAATGCCCCATAAGAATAAAGCCAGTTTCCGACTTTTTCTTTGGGAGGGCCTCTGTTTACTGTTAGGAGGCTGGGATTAGGGGGAAGGGATTACCTGTGTTGGTTGCATCTTTCGCACTCGAAGCATTAATCGGTCACTCATGGAAAGTGTCCAAACCCTCCAACGGCCTTTCAATTCTGGGTGGTGCAGGTACTTCAGGACTGTCCGACACCATGTTGGCAGGTTTACTTTCGAAGTCGTCCATATTGGCTTCAACAAGTGAGCTCGACACTGTCGCGAACATTCATTTCGGATCTGCACTTGTGGGAGCTGTCTCGGTGAATCTCAGGTGCCCGCCGTTGGATTCAGTGCCGGGTCCGCGCTGCAGCACCACGCGCCGGGCTTTAGAAGGATCAGCAGAGGAACAGATCGGACCACCAGAAAGGCATAGGCTTACAAACCCGAACATCCTAAAACCTTGAAGCCGTAGCAGGCGTGGATGGGTGCCAAGAGCTAAACCCTAAAAGGAGTGGGTGTGGAAACCCAAGACCCTAAAGGAGTATCTCGTGTAAAATTCAAAGATCAAATCCTAAATGACGGTTGAAGGCGCGAGAACCGAAATCCCGAACAGGAGTGCCTGGTTTCGTAAACTCCAATCTCAGAATCGTCGAAGGCGGTGCGAAAACCCAACAAATGAGCGGGTGGTGCGGAAATCCAAGACCCTGAAAAGAGTGGGTGTGGGTGCTGAAGCCCGAAACCTTAAAAGGAGTATGCTTTATGAAAGCCCAAAGCCAAAGAGCCATAAATGGAGTAGCTGTAGCCTGTAGCTGCCAAACCCCCAAACCCCAAACACCTGAAACCCAAGACCTTGACACAAGTCGGTGGTGGTCGCCCAAACCCGAAAAGGAGTAGCTGGTGCCAACATCCCCGAAAAAGAGTGCATGGGTGCGAAACCCAGCACCCTAAAGGAAGTCGGTGGGCGCGAAGCCCAAAACCCTCAAAGGAGTGGCTGGCGCAACAGCCGAAACCGCGGGAGAGTTCGGAAACCTTTCAAACCGCGGAAACCCAAACCCTAAAGGGAGCGGGGTGGTGCGGAAAACCAACCCAAAACGGAGTGGTGCGAAAACCAAAATTCTAAAGGAAGTGGCTGCATGTGAAAAGCCAACGACCCCCTGAGTGCAAAAACCCCAAACCCTAAAAGGAAAAGCAATGGGGTGGGTGCTGAAGCCCCAAACCCCAAAATGGAGTATGTTCTGAGCCTTAAGAGGAGTAGCTGGTCCAAAACTTAGATCCCCAGAACGACTGGACGGATGCGAAACTCAAAACCCTACATCAACGGAGCAGGTGTGCAGAAACCCAAAACCCGAAGAGGAGTGACTGGTGCAAAAACCCAAACCCCTAAACGGAGTGGATGCCCGCGAAACCCTGAATGGAGTTGGCGGGTGCGAAACCCAGAACCCTGAGAGGAGCAGCTGGCGCAACACTATGAACGGAGTGGGTGGGTGCGAAACCCGAAATTTCAAACAAGGAGTGGGCGGGTGCGACACCCAACAGCTTTAGAGGAGTAGCTCTGGGTGCGGAAACCCACACCTGGGTGGCTGCGAAGCCCAGCACACTAAAAGGAGTGGGCTGGCAAGAGCAGGAGCAAGAACAAGAGCAAAAGCAACAGCAAGAGCAGGAGTAAGAGCAAGAGAAGGAGCGACAGCAAAAGCAAGAGCAGGAGTTAGAGCAAGCAAAAGCAAGAGCAGGAGTAAGAGCAAGAGCAGAAGGAAGAGCAGGAGCAACAGCAAGAGCAGGCGAGAGTAAGAGCAAGAGCAAAAGGAAGAACGGGAGCAACGGCAAGAGCAGGAGCAAAAGCCAGCGCAGGAGCAACGGAAGTAACAGTTGAGATAACAATGCCCCTTAAGAATAAAGCCAGTTTCCGACTGAGGGCCCCTTTTACTGTTATGGGGACGCTTTGTGGGAGCTCTCTCGGTGAATCTCGGTAACCCGCTGTTGGATTCAGTTCCGGGTCCGCGCTGCAGCACCACGCGCCGGGCTTTAGAAGGATCAGCGGAGGAACAGTTCGCACCACCAGAAAGGCCTAGGCTTACAAAGCCGAACATCCTAAAACCTTGAAGCCGCAGCAGGCGTGGATGGGTGCCAAGAGCTAAACCCTAAAAGGAGTGGGTGTGGAAACCCAAGACCCTAAAGGAGTATCTCGTGTAAAATTCAAAAAACCCTACATCAATGGAGCAGGTGTGCAGAAACCCAAAACCCGAAGAGGAGTGACTGGTGCAAAAACCCAAACCCCCAAACGGAGTGGGTGCGCGCGAAACCCTAAATAGAGTTGGCGGGTGCGAAACCCCAGAACCCTGGGAGGAGTAGCTGGCGCAACACCCTGAACGGAGTGGGTGGGAAACCCGAAATTTCAAATAAGGAGCGGGCGGGCGGGTGCGACGCCCAATAGCTTTAGGGGAGTAGCTTCTGGGAGCGGAAACCCACACCTGGGTGGCTGCGAAGCCCAGCACACTAAAAAGGATTGGCTGGTGCGAAAGCGCCAAGCCCTAAGAAGCAGCTGGTGCGAAAACCCGAAATCCTAAAGGAGTGTGTAAATTCGAAAACCCCAAAACGCTAAAAAAGGGATTGTGCCATAACTCTAAGCGGAGCAGCTGCGCAAAATCCAAACCCTACAAGAAGTGGGTAAGTGCGACAACCCAAGACCCTAAGAGACCAAGAGGAGCAGCTGGTGCGGACACCCAAAACCCTGAGTGGAGTGCCTTTCTTCGTGACTTCCAAACCCTAAAAGGAGCAAAGGAGCACCTGGTTCCGCAAACGATAGACCTTAAGAGGAGGCTCCTCTAAACCCCCACGCGATGAACCCTGAGTGATCCTGAACGCGCCCTGGCAGCGTAGAAACCTGTAGCTTCCGAGTGAGAAAACACCAAGCACAGATGAATTCGAGAGCCCAGGATCTGCACAAACGACTGTTTTGCAATATGTTGTCAGTGAGACACGTCGGCAGGCATATTTGTAGTCAGATGTAGGCAGGACAGCCGGCATAGATTGCGAAGCAGGAACACCCGTCGCTTGGTTCAACCCGCGCGACTAAGGCACAACCCCGCCCCGACGACACGTGCACTCAGCAATCCTCTGGGGTGATAAAGTTGATGAAGGCATATCCGAGGTTTGCTCGAAATTTGACGTCCCGAGGCAAGTAGAAAAAGTCGTACCTGCGCTCGCAGGTCAGCAGGTGGCAGTTCAGGAGTTCTGCGTGCGAAGAGACAGTGAGGACAGGCCACGGGCCTTCCACCAAAGCCTTCTTCATCAATGGTCAGCATCACCTGAAAACACGTCGGGATGTTTTTGGGCACGTCTGCGAGAGCTTGCGCGAGCTGGCAGGACACCTCCTCTTGACTCTTTCGGCAGGGGATGTTCTTCAGCATCATTGTCCTTAGTGAAACGACACACAGCCGACTCTTCCCTGACTTTTCTATTGAGGTCCGAGGTGGCATCGTGATAGGCTGTGTGGAAGCAGTTGCTGTTCCCTCCACAGTCTCATTCGTCCCACCAAACCTGAAAACAAAGATCCAACGCTTCCTGCAGCACTTGCAACCCACTTTTTGAGGACAGCACTTCTTGATGTAGTCCGTTCTCTTAGGACCACCTCCACTTAGAGGTACTTTCGCCTTCTCCTGGCTGTGCTATGACTGGCGGCATGTTGCAAACACGGGGACATTGTAGGCCCGGCAGTCCTTGGCACCAGGCCTTAAGGAAAAAAGCACGCTAGGCTATGCAAGGCTGTCAGGTTCGGGCTCCAGATACTGGCCCCATGTCTAAGGCTCCATCACGACAGCTTGCGGGTCCATAGACATCATGAATCCTGGGACACCCGGAAAGCAAAACGCTTCGAGCACTGCTAAAACCGGGCTTGCCCGAAACCCACATTCAGGTTCGAACTCGGAATTACCTCCGATGTGCTGCATCCCTTAACCCTCGAGACATATTCTTGAAGCCTTTGCGCAGCAAGCTGTTAAAATGTTGTGTCGCGCTCAGAGGGGTGTGTATATTGTATCCTCATTCATCCTCGTTGGAAGCCTAGTTGAAGCCCGCGCCGGTGGACAGGAGACCTAATTTCAGCCTTCTGTGATTCTGCTTTTGATAATCAACTGGCTACCGACAGGCAGCTCCATAAGCCGAGCAAGTCCTGCCATGTTCTGGTCCAACATCTGCTTGCGGCCTCCAGGTTCCAGCATTGTCGTTCAGACTCGACAACCGATGGCCCGCATCTGCCTGCCATCAGTGCTTCATCTTCCATCATCCGCTTGCCTGAGGCAGACGAAACAACCACAGAAACCGCAGAGCAGCTGAAGGGAAGGAGCTGAACTCTGGACCTCGGCCAGCATTCACGGGCCTTCCACCTGTGCGAATCTCTACATAACCTCGTTCTCTCTCTCTCTCTCTCTCTCCGCACTGCGACAGATCTTGCCTCCCTTCTTCATGGAAACTTGGCGGTTGCCTCTGAAATGCCAGTTCTCTATAAGAGACTACTGTCCAGAAAAGTCGGCCTCGCTGAGGGTCGACTTGGCCGCACCTCCGGCAAAAGTCGGGTCGCGCATGCACCCACATCGGATCGAGACGGTCCAGGGGTCCAGACCCTCCGGGCATGAAGGATGCTGCGGCCTAGTCAACAAAATGCACTCAGAATGCACTGCAAGGGTAACCTGACAGAACGGCCTGGGCTTGGGCCTGCATCTGCATCTGCCTTGTTGCACTGCATTGGAACCAACATCGACCAACTTGCGGCAAATGCCCGTGACATGCAAGGCAGCGGCGGGTCGATCGACTGACGCAGGCGCTCTAGCTGCTCCTTCAGCGCATTGGTTGAATAGATATCAATCGGAAGCATAGAATCAGTCCTGCTGCTGCTGCAGCTGCAACTGCTGCTGCTGAAGCGACGAGATACCCTGTGCGAGCAGCATGCCTCCAGCCTGACGGAATGCGGTGGCTGCAGATGAGGAGCAGCTCAAAGCACAAAGATTTACCGAGCTTGCCACTGCCATGAGGCCGCCCGCAAAGTTGCTCGAAGATAGATTCAACCTGTCATAAAACATTACGAACCTTCCACAATGAGCACACGGACTGCAAGCTTCTTGTCGCGGGTTCAACATAGCACAGTGCACGGAAGATTCTGACCAGCCCGCCAGTCAACACCTTGCCACCAAGGAAGCTGAACGAGGCGAATCCACATGCTACGCATGATAGGCTGCCTGTACCTCCAGGATACGGAGTGTCAAGACCTCGCGACCAGAGCACCTGCAGTGTGGTTGCATCTTCGGAAAATAGATGTGTCTCGTCCGTGCCGACACCTGCTGAGGAGGAACACGTGATCCGGCATCCTCGAAAACGCTCATCGCTTTGCAAGCAAGCAGCACAGCTTGGGCGCGCACCTGGTGTGGAGGAATTCGCGATCCTGCATCCTGCTCCAGTCAGAGCGATCAGGACTTATCGAACCCAACAACCCCCCTCCCAATTCCTCAACACTTGGCCACGGCGCCTGTCCGACGAAGGTGTTTGCTTGCTGCAGAAAGCCTGCCCAGACAGAGATGCTCATGGACGCATGGCGATTCGCAAAACAGACATACACACACACACACATGCGCAATCCTCCCTCTGACTTGTCTTGGTTGAATCGTAAATCTACTTGCAGAGGTAAAGATCTTCAGCCACATAGGCATTTAAAGGATTTTCGTCAACATGCCAGGCTTGTGGCTTCTCTGGTTGCCATGCGGAATCAAAAAGACTCTGTGGGGCTTTTGGTTTAGCCCCATGCCACTTCGGATAAAATAGCACGTACACCATGTGACGTCTCTCACGGCTTCCCCTCCAAATGCTTAGCTTCATTGGACCAGGTTCACAACTGGAGGCTTGGCCCCCCCTGCTTTGTTTTTATAGTGCGTCCCTTCGTAACACGGTTCCCCACACACAAGACGGCACTGGGGCATTGCGAAACCTTGCACAAACGAGGTGCGTGCAGGGTAGCCACACTGGACAAACAGAAAAAAAAAAGGAGGGCTCTGCAAGAGGACGGGCGGTTGGCTGCGAAGCCTTA